GTGATGTTTCTCTGGGGCTTTGTAATATAACTTATGTTTTATTTACAAGGCTGCAATAGAGGGGTTATGTGATTGCTTTCTCCCCAACTCCACTTACTAGCTATTTGTATAAAGCTATATTTGGTGTTTTTTAAAAACACTGAGAACAAGGCAAGGCAAAAGAAGAGGAAAGATGTTAGGATAAAGGGAAGTTTCCCACAGGAATTACCAAGAATTTATTTCATAGAGGAAGGCCTCAATTGCTTCTTGCTCATGGAAATGTTTTCACCTGCCTTGCTAAAGCCTTGATACTCATATCTGGGACGTATTAAGCAATTCAGAAAGTTTACTCATTAACTTTGATTGATCTAATTCAGTGATTCGCAAAGTGGGCGCTACCGCCCCCTGGTGGGCGCTGCAGCGATCCAGGGGGGCGGTGATGGCCACAGGTGCATTTGTTTTAACTTTTTTTGTATTACCTTTCTATTCTGAGTTCAATAAATAGTTTCATAATTTCAAACTTCAATGTTTCTAATTTACACCTTTCTTTACTATATTTTACGAAAAAGGTAGAAACATTAATACATATATCTTTCTGTTTAATTGCTATTAAAATTTAAAAAAAATTAATTTCCAGGGGGCGCTGAGTAATATTTTTTCTGGAAAGGGGGAGGTAGGCCAAATAAGTTTGGGAACCACTGTTCTAGGGGTAGAAATAAGATATGTTTTCAAATTTCTAAAATACGAAGTGGGAGTTATGAGGATGATTTGACAAAACACAATAAATTATATAGAAGTCACAACCACATTTATCTAAACATTTTAGGAAATGTTGGTAGAGATATTGTATATTTAAGTGAAGTACTTTATCCCATAGTCAGCGTTCTAAAACATAAATATATTACTGCATATAGCTGAGCTCTTCAGGAACTACAAATGAAAGACACATTACTTGGAAAATATCCAATTTTACATATAGTATAGTACTTATCTTTTCAGATATATGAAAACCATAAAGCAGGAGGATTTAGACACATTGTAGAGAATCTGACAATGCCTAAGGCTATAAAAAGTCAAATTTTCAAATTTGCTGTGCAACATTCATTTGGTTTACTATTTTCCCAAGCATTTCATTGTTAAACTCTGCATAGATATGACAAAATTTCATATTTGCCTACTACTGTAGATACAGCAAACACACAAATTGAAGAGGCTGCAGATATCTTCACTTACTGATTTTTTTCCATTGCTCTTATGTCGGGTTTAAGTGAAAAGTTCAGAGTGTACAACATATTTTGCATACATTGTACCAGCAAAGAGATAAGAGTATTTTAGTGATTCTGATTTGCAATATGTATGCTATTAGCATAAGGTCTAAAATACAAGCATATATTTTTCAATGATTTACTGCATAATTCTTAGAACAATGGAAACCACTAACATTAGTTTCATGTTTTAAAACATTTCAATTAAGTTTGCATTCAAAATTGGCATTGCATTACCATCATAAACCTCACCAGGTCCAAAGGTGACTGAGCTGCGAAGGCTGTGTACTATAATAAAAATAATATTGAGTTATCTTCAAAAGACTGAAGATCTAGCTCTGACTCAGGAAATTGCAAGCTGTGCAACTTCTGAGGTGTCACTAACCTCTCTGAACACCAGTTTTTTCTCATTGGTAAAATGTTAAGAGTAATATTCATCTCACAAGATCATCATTAGAAACATCAAATAAGGGAAAAGGTGGTGGCTATGCATTTTAAACTACAAAGTACGCTGCAGATGAAGAGTATAAACTCTTCCAGTTCCACTACCGAATGAGGACAATCTTGAGATGTGTGACAAGTTTTGTGTGCTTCTACTTAGGAGCATATTCTTTGCCAGGAAAACTTGTGCTCCTCTGTTAAAGGAAATGTCAAAAACATGGTAGGAAGTAGGAAATCTGTGTACTTTTTATTTATGCATTCATTCAACTAACATTTCTCAAGTGCTGGCTATTGTTAACACTACAGAGCCTAAAAATCTACATATACAGACAGTCCTCGGGTTACGTCAGACTCGACATATGTTGTTTCGTGGTTACGTCGCCATCTCCCATTTATTTATAAAAAAAAAAGTTCCATCATTTCAACGTATGTACTACATGTGCTTTATGTTTTTTATTATTTATTTACCACAAGTAAAGGTCAGGAATTGTTATCTTTCTTTTAAATTTTTTTTTACTGTTTCACTTCATTACTGCTGTGTATGTGCTCCATGTGAGTGACGTAGGTGCTTATGTAGGTGGGTTCCAACTTATGGCGAAAATCGCGTTACATCGCACCATAGGAATGGATCTCTGACGTAACTTGAGGACCTACAGTATATAGATACTGTATATGAGGCCCCTAGAACCATAAGAAATGAAAAAAATTCACTGGTAATAACTCATTCTCAAATTGCCCCCCTTAAAAATCAAATTGCCCCCTTGTGGGGCATGTGCCCCACATTGGGAACCACTGGTGTAGAGACTGGTAGGAAGGGCGGAGGCATGAAAGGGCTGGCCGGGCTCCCAAAGACAGCAGATGAAATTTCGGAGAGATATCTCAGCTGCAGGGGTTTGCCACTGAGAACTCTGGGGTCTAATCCCTAAGCTGCCCCCCCCCCCACTCCCCAGCAGAGATCACCAGACTTGAGAAAGGGGCCCACATAACATCTGGCTGTGAAAAGCAGCAGGGCTGCTGTCTGCCAGGGAAAGATGGCTGGAAATGCAGGCACCCTCTTAAAGGACCAATGCACAAAACTTCGTGTGCAGCCACTCACCTTGGGCTCTGGCAGAGAGAGGGCAGAGTGGACTGGAGCTATGTGAACAGAGCCAGGGTTAGGGGCTCTGGGGTTAGAGCTCCAAAGGCAGACACCCCGGTTTCCTGTGCTGAGTCATTCCCTCACGCTAGGGAGGTCACCTTTCTCAGGCAGATCTTTGCTATCCAGGTGGTTTTTGCCTGGGGGGATGGAGGGGGGGGACGCAGGGGAGGAGGCAGTTGACCCACACTATTGGAAAACATCTTGCCCCTATATTTTTTAATCCAAAAATCTCCATCACTCAAGATGTATTATCTTGAACAAGTTACATAACCTCAATTTTCTCAACTGTAAAAAGAGGGTATTAGTAGTACCTATGTGAAAGAATGATTACAGAGACTGGGGAGATAGGCTGAGGGTGTGGTATGAATAGTGCTTGTTTTGTTTGTCCAGCATGCCTCCTTTCTTCCAGGGTCAGCATCTCGTTCTTTCGGGGAGCAGCAATTCTGACCCTCTTCAAGCACATGGTCCTATTATAGCTGCCAGTCATACTGCTATGTCCCCACCCTGCCCACAAGGAATGGTCAGGGATGAACACATGACCAAGCATAGCTAATCAGGCTTTCCCTTTGGTACTATGGAAGAGTGAACTACTGACCCTGACTTTTGCTCCTCCCTCTACCTACACCCTTCATCATGTACCTTTGCAGTGTTCCTCACTCGGGAATAAGTATACTTCCTTGAATATTAACTTTGGAGTCAGTCATGCAACTTGCTTTGACAAATAGAATAAAGCAAAGGCCACAGGATGGTTCTTGTCCCAGCTGGTAGGTAAAGAGCAGCTTTTCCCTTAAATGAAGATGGAGTTTGGGGTAAACATTAAACTGGATAGTGTTAATCATCGAATTGACACTGGGAGAAAGGATTTCTGTCATTGAAGAGTGAGTTAGTAAGCTAAGGGAGTAGCCCAAGACTGAGTTTCAACCAGGTTGACAAGTGAGGCTACTCCCATTGAAGAGGGGGTGGTGTGATACTACATAAAATTGCATTTTTATTATTTCACGCCCCCCCCCCCATGTTTCTTCAAACTTGTACTTAAAATTGTTCTCCTCTTGTATTTCATTCCCTATTGTGCTGGGGTCCAGCCCCAGCGGGTCCAGGGGTTCCCAAAGGTGTGGACGGAGTCGGTGAAGAATGAATGACACGGAGGCAGTATTCAGGTGATCATCATAGCCAGATTCTTCTCTTTATTGTCATCTAACATCTGTATTTATACTATTTGGTCCCAATCCTATCCATTCTATACAAAAGGCCAGGGGGCTTCCCATCTCCATTCAAAGGTTACTCTATTGTTCCACTAAGCTACAAGGAAGTAACTGATGGAGGTCACTCCAAGCAAAGATCAAAGCAACAACCACCCCTCGGACACTCAGTTAAAGGGTTTACTGATAAAAATCCTCACCTGGGGAAACAACCTTTCTTCTCCTAGCCAGGTTCCTTCCCCTATTGTCCTCTTACATCTGCATTTATCCTATTTGATCTTAATCCCATCCATTCCATTCCAAAGGCTAGGGCGTTTCTCATCTCCATTTCAAGGTCCCTTGAAACATCCCTGCACAGACTGCCTCAAGCAGCCAGGGTGGATCGGCTTCCAGCACTATTGTCCCTATTTTATCTAACTTTAGTATTATTCAAAGGTTTTCTCTTGATGTATTTGCTTGGTACATTTTTTGTTACCTTTCTCTTCTTTTTTTAATTGTTCTTTTGATCCAAGTACTACATTTTCTTACCTTTGAATCTCAGTATGTATTAAAATGTTTAGAACAAAAACAACAACAACACATTTCTTTGCCCTTTCATCCAACATGTTTTACTGAATTTATTGGGGTAACACTGGTCAATAAAATTATATTTTTGTATAATTTTTCAGGTATACAATTCTATAATTTTTCCTTTTTTCCTTCCCTCCTTCCTTCCAATAAAAATGTATACACATCATCTGTATATTGTTTTGTGTATTCACCACCCAAAGTCAAGTCTCCTTTCACCACCATTTATCCCCCCTCTACCCTCTTTTACCTCCCCCCACCCCCTTTCCCTCTGGTAATCACCATAGTATTATCTATGTCTATGAGTTGTTGTTTTTTGTTTTTGCTTAATCCCTGTACCTTTATCCCCCAGCTCTGCAACCCCCCTCCCCTCTGACAGCTGTCAACCTGTTCTTTAGAGGAGTCTGTTTCTATTTTGTTTGTTAGTTCATTTTGTTCATCAGATTCCACATATGAGTGAAATCATATGGTATCCATCCAATATTATTCCGGGTCCTCCAAGAAACAGCCACCAAGATGAAATTAGAGATATAAGAAATGTATTAGGGACAAGTTATTAGGGAAAATGTAGAGGAAATGAGGAGAGGTTGGGAGAACTGTCAGACCACCATGGAGGTCTGACCCTGAGTGAAAGAGAACGGGAAGGGAGGGAGACAGAGGGAAATGGTCTTAGACTGCAGTGCGGTTCTAAAGAAAACTCCACAAGGCCACTGGGGACTCCTCAAACCAAAGTCACCGGCAATCCATCACCCAGTTTGGGTTAAAGCCACGCTTCCCAAGGCTGCTCCTGACCAATGACTGAGTGCAATGGTGGCACTAAGGTAAGAGGATACCTGGAAGCCATGAGAACCCTTTGACTGCTCTTTCCACATAACTCACTCCATCTTGGCTTTTCCTAACTTAGACCTCTTACTTCTTGCACTGTCCTTCTGTGCATCCTTTCAAACCCATAATAAGATGTTTTCATTTATTGGGAGGGCTCTGTGGTAGGCAGTCAATAGGAAACAGCCTAAAGTAGTGGAGAAAAGTGACAGGGGGAGACATTTAGTATCTCCAGTCTAGGCAAAAGGAATTGGTGTCACTCTTAAAACCCCGCATTAGTTACCAGAACAAGAAACCCAAATGATACAAAGTGATTCCGCCTGGAGTATACTCTCTGCATACTTACCATTGAGTGGCAGTAGGCAACGGGTAGTGGACTCAAGGGTTCAGAATTTCACTCATGAACAGAGAATTGACTCATAAGAGCTCTACTGATCCTCCAAAATTCCACACTGTAAAGTAGACCAAAAATAACTTTAGCCTACAAAAGGCAGATGTTAGCAGATGGTTACCGTAGCCACTGAGAAAACTCAGGAGCACATCCACAAATGTCCAATTCTGTGGAACATGCATCCAGGCACTGGTAACAATGGACCATACACCACATTTCTCAATCGTGTGCCTCCAGACCTCAAACAGCGCCTTCCGGGGCTCTGTTCAACCACGTGGACAGCCCACCTTCTACTTTTTTGTTGGTTGGTTGGGGGCCGGGCAAATTCCTATTTATCTTTCAATGCTTAAAATCACTTCTCCTCAGCAAAGCCTACCCAGAATTGTCCTTTCCCATGTATACTCTCACAGAGGTTGTTCAAACCTATTTCATTGTTTGCAACTCATTGTACTGATATCTCTCTCTCTCTCTCTCTCTCTCTCTCTCTCTCTCTCTCACACACACACACACACACACACACACACACACACACACACCTCTGAGCTCCTTGAGGGCAGGAATAATGTTTTCATACCTAATACTTAGCACACAGTAGGCACTCAATACATTTTTATTGGAAGGAAGGAGGAAAAGAAAAAAGGAAAAATGACTGATACAGAACTCCTCCCGGGGTAGATATTTGCCTGAACCTTGTGCAAACGTGCATCCTCAAAATTATATTAGGCAATTCTTTCTCACACCAGGTGTGAGAGCCATCGTTCTCACAGTTACTTTAGCTATCTTAATGACTTGGCCAGATAGCTACAGATTATGCCAGGCACTAATGCAGTTGCACCATACCCAACATGGTCTGGTTCTCATTCAATTAATTAAGATGTATTGTGCTCTGGAATGAGGCACTGCCCTCGGAAACAGGTCTAACACACTAGCCCTGAAGAAAACATACCTATTATTCCCAACATGGGCCATGTTACATCAGATTACTAAAGAGTGTTACAACATGCCCTTGGCTTTGAATTGTTCTCAGTGTTCTTGAAGTAAAGACTCATGTGTAGTCAGTGTGCACTCCACACAGAACAGAACAACCAAGGAAAGCAAATACAATGTTTCATTGCTAAAGCTAAATGAGAGAATGTGTTTGTATGAATACACTATGCAAATTGAGAGAGAACTGGGAGTGATGGGAATGGATGCTGAGAAATATCAGTGAACAGGGAGGGAAAGGACATATTTTGAAAAGTTGCCACATGTGTATAAATCAGCTTCCTCCAATTAGGCATAATATTGGACTTGCACTCCTATTAGTAATAACTAACATTTTGTAGCACTCCCATTAGCCACCACTTCATACATTATAATAATCTATCTATATAAAAGCCTAATATGCAAATTATCCCCACAGGAGTTCGACCGGGAGACCAATTGCTTGCTATGATGTGCGATGACCACCAGGGGGCAGCGCAGAATGAAGAAAGGCCCCAGCCAGCAGCCAGCAGCCAGCAGCAGGGGAAGGGAGGCCCCGGCCGGCAGCTGGAAGGCCCTGATTGGCCCTTATCGCCAGCCAGGCCTAGGGACCATACCCATGCATGAATTTCATACACCGGGCTGCTAGTATATTTATAAAGCAGTTGATCATGACAACTACCTGAAGGAAGTTATTAGTGTCCTTCATAAACTTAGAGGTTAAGCCAGGCATCCTACACCATAATAATGACCCAACCTTCAAGTTTGTTCTGGCTCAGCTGAAGGAGACATCTGCAATGTCCCATTGGGGAAGATGGCCTTTGATTTCAACTAGTCAAATCCACCTTCCTCCCATCCACCACACTCCCATCCCAGCTGTGGGTGCCCACCCAAAGAGCAACAAGACTTTCCAGGGCCTGAAAAGAAGACCTAAGGCTCAACTGTTCTTTACAGAATTACCTCCAAAACAGCAAAACAGATAAGTGAGAAAACTCCCCTGGGAGCTCTTTAACTGCACAAAGGAGATGACCTTTTTAATGAAAGCCCCTCACTAAATAAACAAATTAGCAAACATCACTTGGCTCCTATCTACCTACAACCTTCCCCAAAGTAAGCTGGGTCACCCCTCCCAGGCAAATCATGGAGGAAATAGGAAACCAACACAAACAAATTTAGCAAATATAAAACTTTTGAGCAGGCCTTCTCACCTACCTTGCAAGAAGGTGGCCTTTGAGAAACTCCTTAATCTGCATGGAGCTAAAAGCAAAAGGAAGTTCAGAGGCAGGCTCATATTTTTATAAACTCCTTCCTTGGGCCTTCCAAGTTTCTCTTACCACAGTGGTTCTCAATCTTCCTAATGCCGCGACCCTTTAATACAGTTCCTCATGTTGTGGTGACCCCCAATTTCATTGTTACAAATTGAACATAATTAAAGCATAGTGATTAATCACAAAAACAATATGTAATTATATATGTGTTTTCCGATAGTCTTAGGTGACCCCTTGTGAAAGGGCCGTTCAACCCCCAAAGGGGTCGCGACCCACAGGTTGAGAACTGCTGTCTTACCATAAAGAAGGGATTCTCTGCCCTCACCGGTTTGGCTCAGTGGATAGAGCGTCGGCCTGCGGACTGAAGGGTCCCAGGTTCGATTCCGGTCAAGGGCATGTACCTTGGTTGTGGGCACATCCCCAGTAGGGGGTGTGCAGGAGGCAGCTGATCGATGTTTCTAACTCTCTATCCCTCTCCCTTCCTCTCTGTAAAAAATCAATAAAGTATATTTTTTTTTAAAAAAGAAGGGATTCTCTAACCTTAAAATGTTATTTGTAGTCTGCCACACACACGCACACACACAACGTCTACTAATTATAACTAAGTAGCATCCACTGTTTGTCTTCTTCCCAACGCTACTTCGAAAGTGATCCTATTCTTTGCATCTTGCCTGAGGAGAGTGAGGTGCAGAGAAGTAAAGAGATTTTCCTGTTCTCATTCCAAAGTTTAGCAGGGGCTTTGTTTCTGTTCTTAATGAAACAATTATTAAAGATTTGAGGGTATCATTTTTCCATAAATGGCAAGATATTGCCGGCCAGAAATATTTAATCACTATACCGCCTTCCAATCTGGCAGAAAGTGAAAGAGAATGATTTTGGATCAAGTGTCAAACTGAGCCAGTTGGCCTTGCTCTCACTGAGAGTATTTACAGAGGTCCTCAAACTTTTTAAACAGGGGGCCAGTTCACTGTCCCTCAGACATTCCACACATGCGCACTGCGGGCCCCGGACAAGTCGGCTGCTAAGCAGGACAGGCAGCGGCGGCAAAAACACCCAGTGGGCCAGATAAATGTTTTCGGCGGGCCGCATAACTCTCTATCCCTCTCCCTTCCTCTCTGTAAAAATATATTTTTAAAAAAATCCTGATTTCTGGGCCTCATCCTCCGGAAATTCTGTTTCTTTATTACTAATGTTGTGGCCCCACCCCATAACAAAGAAACAGAATTTCTGGAGGATGAGGCCCAGAAATCAGGATTTTTTTAAAAATATATTTTATTGATTTTTCACAGAGAGGAAGGGAGAGAGATAGAGAGAGTTAGAAACATCGATCAGCTGCCTCTTGCACATCCCCCACCGGGATGTGCCCGCAACCCAGGTACATGCCCTTGACCGGAATCGAACCTGGGACCTCTCACTCCGCAGGCCGATGCTCTATCCACTGAGCCAAACCGGTTTCGGCCAGAAATCAGGATTTTAAAGATTCCCAGGTGATTCTAATGTGCAGCCAAGGTTGAGAACCACTGCTCTAAACCCAGGCTGAGAGTCAGCAAGACCTAAATTTGAGCTTCGGTTCAGCTGTTTAATGTGACCTTGAGCAATAGTTCCAAGGCTCAGTTTCCTCATCGATGCACCATTTTCATCAGGATTAAAAGAAATAACATAGACAAGTGGCTTAGCATACACTGACTGCTCCATAAATACTGGCTATTGTTATTATTTATTAAATGGAGAGCGAGAACATCTGCTTACCAGACTATCGTGTGTGTGTGTGTGTGTGTGTGTGTGTCCTGTGTGCAGACTATAGCAAAATGCAACAGGCACTTCAGGGAGGTATAAATCAAAAACCTAATATTTTGCCCTGACCGGTCTGGTTCAGTGGATAGAGCGTCACCCTGTAGACTGAAGGGTACCAGGTTCGATTCCGGTCAAGGGCATGTACCTTGGTTGCTGGCACATCCCCAGTGGGGGGTGTGCAGGAGGCAGCTGATCGATGTTTCTCATCGATGTTTCTAACTCTCTGTCCCTCTCCCTTCCTCTCTGTAAAAAAAAAATCAATAAAATATATTTTAAAAAAACAACCTAATATTTTGAATCATTTTAATATTTCTTCCCATTATAAACGAGGGACAGTCATAGGTGACTATTAAAATGGAGTTGATAGAAACAGTATGGAAAGTTGCAACAGACAGTCCAGATTATAACCTATTAGTAATATTCAGTCACTTGCATTCTAGTGTATTTTTTCCAAATGAGGGGAAGTGGGAGAGACATAGTTAATAAGCGAGAATTTTCAGGTCACACTGCGCACATCTGCCCTTCCCCGTGCAGGGGAGAACGGCTGAAGGCCACTGCCTTAAGGGACCTTGAAATTTGTAGTTGTGTTAAAGCTTCTAATTACCTGTTTGAGCCAGATTTGTAAGAAACTTTGGAATTGCCAACCCATTTTTTTTTTTTGAAACAGAGAGTTGGATATTGAGTTAGCACATCTAGTTCAGAGGAAAGCTATGTTACGTTATATTTTTATAATCCATGTAAACAGTAATTAAACATCTTCTAATATAAGAGGAGTGAAATTACCTGCCCAACGTCAAGATGAAAAATTCACTACAAAGAGATAGCTATTATTCAATGTGATCACATGAAACTTAGCATAAACTAATAAAATAGATTTTTCCCCTTTTAGAAATGTTTAGCATATGATATTATCTTTACCCTACAAGTTATATATATTGGAATGTGTGTGTGTGTGTGTGTGTGTGTGTGTGTGTGTATGTATATATGTATACTAAAGGCCCAGTGCACAAAAATTCATGCACTGGGGTGAGGGGAT